CTTGAGTATATTTGCCTTGTACAGCCTCTCAAATAGTGCCGTTCGGATTCGGCAATAAACTGTAGGTCCCGTCGTAGCCGACGCTCTATATAGAGTATGGCACTGTAAGAAGAAGATTATCACGAGATAACAGGGTTAAATTGTTTTACAAAGGGGGTAAATTTACCCTGAATGGGGTAGCTGTGGCAACACTACGCGCGTCACGGTCGTCTCGCGGCCGTCATTTTTATATAAGGTGTGTTTTTATGTTCTTGATGATAAATCGTTTTATTTTATGTGGTTTTATTCTTATATGTACAGGGTGGGTCAAATTGGACGCTTGTAAAGAGAAATTCCCTTTTCTATATATAGGAGATAGACGAAAACTAATATCGGTGTCTGGAGCTCAATTTTTATCAAAAACATGATGGTGAAAACCGCATATCGATATCCATTACCGTTTGGAAGTTACGGGATGTGTGTTTCAAAAATGTGAATTTTTAACAAATTGCTGTAACTTTTTTGTTGTGGTAAATTTTGTATTTTTATGAAAACATTTCCAAAGCACCTTTTTACGTAGAATTGAATGGTTTAAGTATATTTTTTTAAAATTAATAATTTAAGAGTTATCAACAAAAAAATGATTTTTTATATGGGACACCCTGTATATTTTTAATCCATTGAAAATAATTTAAAATTACCTTTCCAAAAATATAACACACTTCATATTTTGCTCGATTCCTCTTCGAGATATAGAGTGTATAAAAATTAGCCCACTTTGAATAAGTATGCTTTGAACGGCGCTGGCGGCGGCTGTAATGCAAAAAAATCTAGCTGTGAGCAGCAATTAAAACGAAAACAATATTTGCAATGCGAGATGCAGAATTTTATAACAATTTAAACTATATTTAACAACATAAACACATTTAAACTATCATCTACTAACAATAAAAATAAATAGCAAACCAGCACATGATATTTTGCTACAGGTGTTCGACATATCGACCGTCTTCTGTTATGGACAGACGGGGCCGTTTTTGAAAATTTCTCCCGGAATTCATTAACTCAGTAGGGGTGAAAGATAACCTCGCATAACCGCTAAATACTTCTAATTCTTGCCTAGATTATACGGGCAATTTAAAAATAAGAACCTTTATTCTTCCGCAAAGATATCCATAGGATTAGATCCATAAACACTAAGTCCGGCCGCCTCGACGGCCACCGACTGGGATCTTGGTTAGCTACGTAATTATTCCCGAAATTAATTGCAAAAATTTGGTGATAACTTCAGCGTTCTGAGGCCGTACGTCGTCTTGCTGGAAAAATATGTTTTCGAGTTCCATTAGGGGCAGATCATCAATAAGGGGTCCAAAGCCTACTATATAGTTAAAAGTGGCGAACTTTTTAAAATTCTGTATTTCGAAGGAGATTATAACAAAATATTAAGTGTACTATATTTTTGGAAAGGTAATTTTAAGTTCCTTTCAATTAATTAAAAATATACAGGGTGTCCCAAATAAAAAATCAATTTTTCTATTGATAACTCTTAAATTATTATTTAAAAAAAAAATATATTTAAACCATTAAATTCTACGTGAAAAGGTGCTTTGGTAATGTTTTCATAGAAATACAACATTTTCCATAGCAAAAAAGTTACAGCGATTTGTTAAAAATGCACATTTTTGAAAAACACCCCGTAGCTCCGAAACGGTAATAGATATCGATGTACGGTTTTCACCATCATGTTTTTGATCAAAATTGAGCTTCAGACACCGATATTAGTTTTAGTCTCCTATAGAAAAGGCTGTTTCCCTTTAAAAGCGTCCAACTTGACCCACCCTGTACTTACAATAAATTAATAATTTTTAAGAAAATCGGTAATACAAGAAAATTAATATAAACATTTAAAAAATAGGTACTTAAATTGAATTCTGGTTGTCTTGACTTGAGGGAAATTATATTGATTTAAGTCATTTTACTGACTTAACTTGCAGATAATCATGATTTAAGTAAAAAATATAGACTTAAATAATAAAAATGGCTTAAATAAAGTTAAATTAATTTAAGTCTTTTCAAAAATGATTTGACTTGAAATAAAACGATTTAAGTAAAAAAATTAAGCCTTAAATCATATGAACTTTATGTTGAAATTGACTTAAGATTTTAATCAATTTGATTTTAGAAATGACTTAAGATTTAAGTCTTTTAAAAACTGACTTGTTGCAACTCGGTGCACACATAGTGATCCAACATAGTGATCTACTACATCTCAAAATTTTATTTTCTGAGTACATTTTAAAATCTTCTTTGAGATACCTTTAATATGTGGGATTGTACAAAATGTGAACCTCCTACAATATCTTAAAAAAATCATGAAGGGAATTCCAAATGTAATAATCTTAATCTTAATTAAATTAAAACTATGTCAGTGAAGTACTTTTCGAATTTGCGGTTCCAGAAATCTTTATTCAGAATTAAAGTTTCTAATCCCATGCCGACAGTGTTGGCTCCCTTTACAAAATCCGAGGCATAAATCAATGACGCTCGCTTGCGTCTTGTTAGAACTTTCAAACTTTCAACGACAGTTGTTGCTTTGTTACAGTTGTAAAAGGAAACACTTTGAATAATTTGAAAACTAAAATTAAAAGCCAAGAGAAGCAAATTTACTTCAAATTTCAAAATATTCAATTAAAGAAAGAAAATCAAATATTGGTTGTTATTTGTAATTGTTTCTAATTCTTCATTTATTAATATCAAATCTTAGTAGTTTATGTGTAAAATCGCTTATTTCTGAGGCTTACTGAACCGGGTCTCACAATGCAAATTCACCATTTAATTGGTCATTCGCAAGCACTTGTACATGAAAATAACAAATTACACCCATTACATACATAAAACATTACGTAACAAATTACACCTATACATACATTAAAATAACAAAGTACACCCATTGTACATGAAAATAACAAAACAAACATTTAATGATCTGGATAAAGTTGATAGTTAATTAGTAAAACTCACCCGGGGGTACTCCGCCCCCTAGCCACTGACATCACTGACATTCTATTCAATATATCTCATTCCATATCTTCCATCTAATTCAAATATTATTCGGATCTATTGGTTAATAACTTTCAACAACTAGCTAGTGTCACCTGAAATAGTATAGGGGCTTCCCCCGGACCCAAATCTGCCGCTAAACAGATTCGCATCCCAATATCAGACCTCAAACTCTCAAGGCCAACTCGAAGGCTCTTGCCTTCGAGCGTCTCTTGTGACGTCTTCGTCACAAGAGGTTTTCTTCTTGTGGTCAAACGACCACGTTGCCTTACAGTCAAACGACTCGCAACTATGATAGTGAAAAGACTCGCAACCCCCAATTGTCAGCTCTGTGACAAAACACAACACTACACAGCCGGCCGGCCCGTCTACTACTGATCCGCCGCCGGTAAGCTAAGCCTCTTCTTACATCACAATTTCACCTGATCACAAATATTTACATCGCTTGCCAATGAATCATAATATTTTCTCTAATAATCGACTTTCAAATAGAGTGTTTTAGCATTACTAGATAAATAAATAGAGAGTTTCCGAAGGAATGCATATTCTTTATTAGAATAGTGAATAAATAAAAGCATTATTATAACGAACTTATTTTCCAAGTTTTACATATGAAATTTGTTTAGAGTTTCTATATACTGAAGACGTACTTTATTTAACTTAAGTGCTGACTTTCAATAATTCCAGTTAGTTTTTCGTGTTTGTTAGCATTATCTGAGTTATTCAATATCAAGTCTAAACTTTATTGTTTATGGAGATATTTATAAGCATGAGCTCATAGATATCTCCATAAAATCCGTTACTGATGAGTAAATGCAAGACCTAAGTCAAGACTTACCTGGTCTTGGTCTAGCAGTTAATAAGTAGTCTTGGTTTTAGGTTACTTTGTACATACATATATCGAAGAGTAATAACTTTTCGTCCGTGCCTGTATAAAACTACTGAGTGATATATTTCCGTCATTTTCTACGTAAAAAGCGTCTCTTTGTAAAAAAATAGTTGTTTGACTGAAATGACAAAACCGGGAACACCTTTTTTCTTAAATTAATCACAATTTTTTCTAGAAAAACATATGATAAAATAGTTCCTGTTGAACCTTTGGTACAAAAAAATTCAAATTGATTTCAGTCTTATAAATATCTAGTCGACATGTTTAATTTTTGTCAATGATAACGTGTATTGACTATTTCTATTCCAAATATCTTGAGAACCATTATTCGTTTCTCATAAAAGAGGCTAAAATTGACAAAATATCAAGAGACAACTTTTAATTAGCATTAAACGGTCTACACAATTTTGCTAATTAGTAAACAAGTCAATGGCGCACATGTTTTTTTAGAAAAATAGTCAAGTGATAACCCATATGTATGTCCCTGATCAATATCGTCGACATTTTTTTAGCCATTAAAATATGTCGCACTTAACTTTTACTATAAGTTTGTATTATTGTTTGTTTTACTGAACAACAGTGAATATATTAATAAACAACATCTGCTTATTTAATATTGGGTGGTATTAATAAAAATAAGTATTTACTTATAAGTACTTACTTATAAGTATCATCATTAGCATTAAGTAAATACTGAAATATATATTAAAAAATAGACACTGATAGTTAGAAGTATTTACTGATTATTCTTAAGTATTTTCTTATTTACTCGAAATTTGATTAAAAGTAAAACATACAAGAAACGCACGTCAACATTTTTTAAACCAGTTTATACTTGAGATGTATACAAACCTCAAAATATTTACTTTTCTACATTTATTTATCGACGACCATCATGTCGCTCGTTTCGTCCGAGTAAAGTTCAAGTAGAGTTCAAAAAGTAAAGTTTCGTCCGAGTAGAGTTCAAAAAGTAAAGAGTCGGATGTAACATTTGTGGCCCAATATGTGAGGGATAACCCTATTATTTTAAATAAAGGGAAAACTCCGGCAATAAATAAAAAAAACAAGGCGTCTTAGACACGCTTAAACAACATTATGAGAGTAAGCTATCATGTCTTATTACAAAATGTTGTAATCTAACTATGAAAGCATTGTAGATAATTTTGGAAAACCAACAAACTCCAAAAAATTATTAAAAAAAATTAATTACCTGAAGGCGGTAGTAAAAAAAAACTGATGCCAACATAACTGGGAATAAAAAGAAAAAGCTAAGTGCAGCAGAACAACTCATGTACACGGCACTACAGGGGGATCAAGAGGAGTGCAATCCTGTTCTTTTCAAAATACCTGGTAAAATAATTATATTTTTATTACTTATAAAGTAGTGTAATATTTCGTTTCAGGACATGTTGCAGTCGGAATCCCTTCTGATGAATAAAAAGAAAAACAATCCGATTAAGTGGCAGGTCCGTCAGTCGCTTCAACTTCAACATTGCCACCACCGTTACCTGCACGTCCAAAGCGACAAAAAATTATAGAACAATACGAAACGGAGGAAACACGTACGTTAAGCACCACGGAACTACAAAGATTGGTGCTTTTGAAGCAACTGCATGTTCTAAATCTCAAAAAGGCAAAACTGGAGAAAGAATTAAATAAAGATCATGTTCTAAGAGAAGGAGAGAAAACGTATACTATGTTGTAATAATTAGATATATGTATTTTCAATTTAATAAAAATTATGTTAGTTATTTTGATTGGCGTAAATAATTGTGGCTTAGCGGTTGCGTATGACTTGACCTTCCCTTTGAAGTTCAAGTCGTCCAACAGGTGCTTCATCTTCGATGTTGTCATCGTCTAAAGGCAAGCCTTCTTCAATTTCAAAAACTTACAAAATATATATATATATATATATATATATATATATATATATATATATATATATATATATATATATATATATATATATATATATATATATATATATATATATATATATATAGCAGAAAGTAGTCTCGACTGACTAGTGAGAAAGAAAATCTGGGATTTAGTGGGGTTGCAGTCGGAAGGGTTTGACAAAGAATTAATACACTTTGTTAATTGTCAAGCTTTCGGAATTTATTTTTTCCTTCCTCAGGACACTAAAATGGAAATACAAGTTAGACAATTGCTGTTATAAAAGTTAAGAATAAGACTTACTTAACGTGGTACAAGAAAATACCTTCATAAAAACTACATTAAACATGGTTTGTGTTGATAACTCCACCGTGAAAGCATCGCTGACCAGTCAACCACAAGGACTCTTATAAGGCGGTTAAGCCGCCAAATATAAGTTAGAACATTAGAATAATTAAGAGATGTTAGAAATTTTTAAATTAAAGAATTTTTTGCGTCTCAATCCGAAGCGTGGAGGCGCAAAACAATTGACAGGCGACAACCGCGACATCCAAACGTCAAAAGTCAATTGTCAGAAGTCAAGTTAGTAAAAGTGATCTATGGATGTCGAACAAGGCTGTGGCATGTCCATCATTGTATTCATGTAAAAAACCAATGGTGTGGGTGGTCATGTAGAAAAGTGGAGTGATCAAGGCACAACACTAAAAAAACACTAAAAAACATTAATAAAACACCCTTACTCGTGCAACGAGAGCAAAAAACAATTAGGTGGTAAAAATACAATTACATTTACAATTCAGAAAATGTCACCAAATATCTGCAACCAGAAAAACACCGAGCGCAATCAGAAAAAGAATTTTCTTATAAGCAATTGAATAAACATTAGGATGTGCTAAAAATTCTGAAAAAAGACAAGAGGTGCAATGCAAACACTTAGAAAAGGCCAAATGTGAAGAAGGTAATGAGGAAAATATGACAATAATGTTCATATTAATCAATGTGAAAACTGTCACAAAAATTCATTAAATTGTACAAATTTTACCTTCACAATTTTTATTAAATTCACAGGAATTTCATGAAAACAAACCTTTCATAGTATTGGCAATACTTCCAAAATTACAAAATTACATAAGGTGTAAAAAACTACAGAAACACACTCCGCAAAGAGGGGGGGAACAAACAAGATCAGCAAATTAAGACAGTCTAGTGACAAGGCAAAGACAATGTGCGGCTTGGACAATCCAAGAAAAGGCAATGCACCAAACTGACAGTGCACTCCACGCAAATTGCTTATTATCATTAAAAAACATTTAATCAAAGGTAAAACCACCGTTGGTTCTGAAGGAACCAAGGGAGGGTAAAAAAAGAGACAAAAAACAAGTGCACACAGGCACCTGTTATGGTAGTATGCACTGGAAACGTATTAGTGCATATACCTTGAAACAGTCCGAGAGGGACTGGGAAGGGGCGATTAGCAAATTACATAGCATCTATAAAAGATATGGTCAAAATTCCGTTGCGTACATAAACAACGAAATGAGACAAAAAATCTCCGGGTGGAAACCACCGTGAGCGGGTCCCATATAACATTCCGTTTATTAAGAGGTATGTTGACGACCTTATATTGTCGGTTCCTATGGACATGACTGATCACATTCTAGACGTTTTTAACGATCTTAGTGACAGTCTTAAATTCACTATTGAAAGGGAGGTTGATAATTCAATTCCTTTCCTCGACATGAGGCTTATTAGGAGACCTGACAATAAAATAGTCACGAAATGGTATAGAAAACCTACCAGTAGTGGTAGATACATTAACTACCATTCAGACCACCCTACACGAATGAAACTGGGTCTCGTCGGTGCTCTTGGTGAGAGGGTCTCTCGTCTCTCACACAATTCTTACAGGGGTGCCTGCTTGAGTGACCTCAGGTCCATTCTTGTGAAAAATTCATATCCCCCCTCTATAATTAATAAAATTTTATATAATAAAAATCAGATTTTAAATCATAGGTCGACCACCATACCCGCTCTGGATCAAGAGTTAAGTACCCCTCCTCGCGAAGAGGTTAACATTTTTTTAGTTGTCTTCCATTCATAAAGACTTGACTCCTAAATTGATTCAAGTGTTCAAGGGTGAAAACATCAAGTTTGCGCAACGCCTCACTGGCCAGCTGAAGACCCTGTATACAAGAATAAAAACACCATTAGAAAAAACCCAAAAAATTAATGTTGTATACAGACTCAGATGCTCGGACTGTGATTCGTTCTATGTTGGCCAAACTTCTAGGTCCCTCAAGGGTAGAATTACTTCCCACAAAAGTGATTGTAGGAGGTCCATTAGGTCATGCTCGCTGGCTGAACATGTTATTGATGAGGATCATAGAGTGGCCTATGACGATTGTGAGATCTTGTATGTGGAGAAGAATACTTTCAAGAGGAAGTTTTTGGAGATGGTGGCTATAAATGAATGTCCGCGTACTTTAAACCGAATGACAGACATAGATGATTTGAGTTCAATTTATTCTTACATATTAAAATTAAATAACAACAATAATATAATAAGCTCAGATTCAACCTTATAGCCTCCACTTTCACTGCTTTTCCCTACATTTTATCCTAACTACTTAACAATTAATTTAAATTCTAACTAAATGATCCCATTGTGCACACACTTCATTGTATGCATAAGAATCTTCTTCAGTATATGTTAATTTTTCATTGTTTGATATATCAATGTTAATACCTTTAAAATTGCTAATATGTTCTTAATACTCTGACAATTTTATTGATGTAATATTTTTCCGCTTTTGCGATTTTTCCCTATGTTTTTTTATCTCTTATGTTCTCCACATTTAGGATCTGACCCTTGCGTCTTTGGTTCTTGTCATGCTTATCGGGAAACTTTCCCATAAATTGTTTTTTTGGGAGCTTTGCACCATCAGTGCTCATGCTCCTCTTAAATTGTTTAGAAACCCTCAGCCTATCGCAGGATTTGAGGTACTGTGCGTGGTGCGTGCACCCACAGTTTGGCATTGCAATAGCTAGCCTTGTCTCTTGGTTGGTTCGCTGTTCCCCTCACACTATCACTTGCCTTACTAATTGTCTTGGGGTTTTTGGTTAACCACTAAAAACCTTTAAGTCAAAGAAAATTCGAATTATTAGAATTTTTACACTAACAGTGTGTCGACTTTCGAGCACTCATACAATTCTCACCCATCGCGTGGTGATGAGTTGTTGTGTAGGTGGTGGGTGGGACGGTGGTTTCCACCCGGAGATTTTTTGTCTCATTTCGTTGTTTATGTACGCAACGGAATTTTGACCATATCTTTTATAGATGCTATGTAATTTGCTAATCGCCCCTTCCCAGTCCCTCTCGGACTGTTTCAAGGTATATGCACTAATACGTTTCCAGTGCATACTACCATAACAGGTGCCTGTGTGCACTTGTTTTTTGTCTCTTTTACCCTCCCTTGGTTCCTTCAGAACCAACGGTGGTTTTACCTTTGATTAAATGTTTTTTAATGATAATAAGCAATTTGCGTGGAGTGCACTGTCAGTTTGGTGCATTGCCTTTTCTTGGATTGTCCAAGCCGCACATTGTCTTTGCCTTGTCACTAGACTGTCTTAATTTGCTGATCTTGTTTGTTCCCCCCCTTTTTGCGGAGTGTGTTTCTGTAGTTTTTTACACCTTATGTAATTTTGTAATTTTGGAAGTATTGCCAATACTATGAAAAGGTTTGTTTTCATGAAATTCCTGTGAATTTAATAAAAAATTGTGAAGGTAAAATTTGTACAATTTAATGAATTTTTGTGACAGTTTTTCACATTGATTAATATGAACATTATTGTCATATTTTCCTCATTACCTTCTTCACATTTGGCCTTTTCTAAGTGTTTGCATTGCACCTCTTGTCCTTTTTCAGAATTTTTAGCACATCCTAATGTTTATTCAATTGCTTATAAGAAAATTCTTTTTCTGATTGCGCTCGGTGTATTTCTGGTTGCAGATATTTGGTGACATTTTCTGAATTGTAAATGTAATTGTATTTTTACCACCTAATTGTTTTTTGCTCTCGTTGCACGAGTAAGGGTGTTTTATTAATGTTTTTTAGTGTTTTTTTAGTGTTGTGCCTTGATCACTCCACTTTTCTACATGACCACCCACACCATTGGTTTTTTACATGAATACAATGATGGACATGCCACAGCCTTGTTCGACATCCATAGATCACTTTTACTAACTTGACTTCTGACAATTGACTTTTGACGTTTGGATGTCGCGGTTGTCGCCTGTCAATTGTTTTGCGCCTCCACGCTTCGGATTGAGACGCAAAAAATTCTTTAATTTAAAAATTTCTAACATCTCTTAATTATTCTAATGTTCTAACTTATATTTGGCGGCTTAACCGCCTTATAAGAGTCCTTGTGGTTGACTGGTCAGCGATGCTTTCACGGTGGAGTTATCAACACAAACCATGTTTAATGTAGTTTTTATGAAGGTATTTTCTGTACCACGTTAAGTAAGTCTTATTCTTA